TAAAAGGGGAAAACTCTTATTTGTTTAAGAGTTCATTGTTGGGTTTAAAGAGGTTCATTGTTCGGTTAAGAGGTTCATTTTTGGGTTAAGAGGTTCATTGTTTGTTAAGGTTAAATTGTTGGGTTTAAGAGGAACATTGTTCGGTTAAGAGGTTCATTGTTCGGTTAAGAGGAGCATTGTTCGGTTAAAAGGTTCATTGTTCGGTTAAGAAGTTCATTGTTCGGTTAAGAGGTTTATTGTTCAGTTAAGAGGTTCATTGTTCGGTTAAGAGGAACATTGTTCGGTTAAAAGGTTCATTGTTCGGTTAAGAGGAACATTGTTCGGTTAAGAGGTTCATTGCTTGGTTAAGAAGTTCATTGTTCGGCTAAGAGGTTTATTGTTCAGTTAAGAGGTTCATTGTTCGGATAAGAGGACTAGCGAGTGTTCGGTTAAAGAGTACGTGGACTTAGTCTTCAAGGGATTCATGTACGTTGAATCACGTACGTATTGGGGAAGAAGTTGTCTTGAAAGTTACTACGGACACCTGAGACTGAAGGAGGAGGGAGAGAAGGAAGAGGAGGAGGAGGAGGAGGAGGAAGAAGAAGAGGAAGGGGAGGAAGAGAACGAAGAGGAGAAGGAGAAGTAGGAGGGGAAACAAGAAGGGGAAGTAAAAGAAGAAAAAGAAGAAGAAGAGACTGAGGAGCTTTAAAAGGAGAGAAGACAACAAAGGAAAGTAATAAACAAAAAGAAGGAAACACAGAATTGATGGTCTGGAACTTAGAAAAATGAATAAATAAGAGAAAAAGATGGAAAGATAATGGGGAATGAGAGAGAAAGAGAGAGAGAGAATGAAGAGAGAGAGAGAGAGAGAGAGAGAGAGAGAGAGAGAGAGAGAGAGAGATTGCTAGGGATCCTTAACCTTGTCAAACCCTGTGTAAGAGAGAGAGAGAGAGAGAGAGAGAGAGTCAGCAGCTGTGTGGTAGCACTGGACATTGCTGGCGCTTTCGACCGGGTGTGGCACCAGGGCCTCTTAGCAAAACTTCAAGCACTGGGAATTGCAGGCTCTACGCTATGTCTCCTCAGTGATTACCTTCATGGTAGATCTCTAAGTGTAGTTCTCAATGGAACGGAATCAGCAAGACATCCTATTGGGGCAAGTGTTCCACAAGGAAGCGTGCTGGGACCATTGTTATGGAATGTCTACTTCAACGACCTTCTTCATCTCATCCAAGAATCACATGCATATGCAGATGACTGTACACTGACATTCACTTATCCAAGAGAAGAAATGCCAGCTGCTCTAAGCTACATCAATCACCAGCTGAGAGCTATATCAGCTTGGGGAAACAGATGGCAAGTAACATTTGCACCTGAGAAAACACAAATTATGATGATCTCTTGGCACCATGATGGTAATGCCGGAGCAATACTGAGTATGAATGGGAGGGTATTGGTACCTGGGGAAGACGTTGATATCCTTGGGGTGAAATTGGACTCCAAACTGACCATGAAGAACCACGTTGTAAATCTTGCAAACAAGGCTGCCAGGAAGCTTACAGCACTTCGCCGTATCTCGCATCTGCTTGACAGTAGGGGTTGCAAGATTCTGTACGAGGCACAAGTACACTCGCACCTTGAGTATGCTCCACTTTCTTGGTGTGCCTCCCCCCCCTCTCATCTGCGACTGTTTGACAGAGTAGAGAACACAGCAAGACGTCTCATCTTTCGCCTGGACCAATCCTGGATAGATCTGTCATTTCAGCAGAGCCTTCAACATAGGAGGGATGTGGGTGGCCTTACTTTATATGTACAAGGCCAATATTGTAAAAGTCCCACACTTGGATCCACTTCGAGGAGAGCATGAAGCAAGCTTCTATGCCACAAGATGGGCAGAAAGCAGCAACTTCACTCTGGCTGTAACCTTCTCCAGAATATCACTTCATATGAGATCATTTATCCCCAGGATGACTCGAGTATGGAACACATTCGTACAGCATTATGATGTCAACGAGATAAAGTCAGTTGATGAAATGAAAATGCTGGCCCACAGATGGTCCACAGCTGGCCCACAGATAGCTCCAACTTCATCCTGTTCCCTACTTGTGTGTTTCATAACAATAAAAATGCTTTCAAATGAGCTGATGTAGGTAACAGCTCTTAGCTTGTCAATAAACTTAGGAATCCTTAACCTTGTCAAACCCTGTGTAAAGAGAGAGAGAGAGAGAGAGAGAGAGAGAGAGAGAGAGAGAGAGAGAGAGAGAGAGAGAGAGAGAGAGAGAGAGAGAGAGAGAGAGAGAGAGAGAGAGAGAGAGAGAGCGAGATATATATAATATATATATATATATATATATATATATATATATATATATATATATATAGAGAGAGAGAGAGAGAGAGAGAGAGAGAGAGAGAGTGAGAGAGAATAGGGAGGGACAGAAGGACTAGTAATCTTAGGGTAGTAATCCTGAAAGGTTGAATAACCACTGCGGGTTTACCGCTCCACATTAATATAATAACAATAGTTCTTTTTCCTGTCAGTAATCTTCATGTCTGTGGTGACAGGTGGACGCCGTGGACGGGGACGCCGGTGAACACGGCAAGCTGATGTACCGTCTGTCTGGTGACGGAGTTCACGAGGACCAGCACCTGTCTTATTTCTCTGTTGATGCGCATACTGGAGAACTGAGACTGCTGAGAGTAAGTGTGTGTGTGTGTGTGTGTGTGTGTGTGTGTGTGTGTGTGTTGTGTGTGTGTGTGTACTCACCTAGTTGTACTCACCTAGTTGAGGTTGCAGGGGTCGAGTCCAAGCTCCTGGCCCCGCCTCTTCACTGGTCGCTACTAGGTCACTCTCCCTGAACCATGAGCTTTATCGTACCTCTGCTTAAAGCTATGTATGAATCCTGACTCCACTACATCGCTTCCCAAACTATTCCACTTCCTGACTACTCTGTGGCTGAAGAAATACTTCCTAACATCCCCTTGATTCATCTGTGTCTTAAAACTTCCAACTGTGTCCCTTGTTACTGTGTCCAGTCTCGGGAAAACATCCTGTCTTTGTCCACCTTGTCAATTCCTTCAGTATTTTGAAGTGTTTCATGTCCCCCCTATCTCTCCTGTCCTCCAGTGTCGTCAGGTTGATTTCCCTTAACCTCTCCTCATAGGACTTTCCTCTTAGCTCTGGGACTAGTCTTTTTGCAAACCTTTTGCACTTTCTCTGGGTTTCTTTACATGCTTGGCTAGGTGTAGGTTCCAAACGGGTGCCGCATACTCCAATATGGGCCTAACGTACACGGTGTATAGGGTCCTGAACGATTCCTTTTTAAAAGATGTCGGAATGCTGTTCTGAGGTTGCCAGGGCCCATATGCTGCAGCAGTATTTGGTTGATGTGCGCTTCAGGAGATGTGCCTGGTGTTATACTCACCCCAAGATCTTTTTCCTTGAGTGATGTTTGTAGTCTCTGACCCCCTGGGACTGTACTCCATCTGCGGTCTTCTTTGCCCTTCCCCAATCCTCATGACTTTGCACTTGGTGGGATTGACCCCCGGGAAAGCCAGTTGCTGGACCAGGTCTGCAGCCTTGTCCAGATCCCTTTGTATTTCTGCCTGGTCTTCGATCGAATGAAACTCTTCTCATCAACTTCACGTCATCTGCAAACAGTGACACCTCGGAGTTTATTCCTTCCCCGTCATGTCGTTCAAAAATACTAGAAACAGCACTGGTCCTAGGACTGACCCCTGTGGGACCCAACTGGTTCACAGGTGCCACTCTGACAACCTCGCCTGTACATTACTCTCTGCTGTCTTCCTGACAAGTATTCCCTGATCCATTGCAGTGCCTTCCTGTTATTCCTGCTTGGCCCAGTTTTTGCACTAATCTTTTGTGTGGTACTGTGTCAAACCCTTCTTGCCAGTCTAAGAAATGCAATCCACCACCCCTCTCTCTCTTCTCTTACTGCTGTCACCATGTCATAGAACTCAGTAGGTTTGTGACACAGGATTTCCCGTCTCTGAAACCATGTTGTCTGCTGGTGATGAGATCATTCCTTTCTGATGTTCCACCATTTTCCCTGACAATCTTTTCCATGATTTTGCATGCTATACATGTCAGTGACACTGGTCTGTTTTTTAGGTTTTCTGTCTGTCCCCTTTTTTTTAAAGTTTGGGGTACCACATTTGCTGTCTTCCATGCCTCAGGCAATCCCCCTGTTTCGATAGATTTATTGAATATTGTTGTTAGGGGTACACATAGCACCTCTGCTCCCTCTCTCAGGACCCATGGAGAGATGTTATCTGGCCCCATTGCCTTTGAGGTATCTAGCTCACTCAGAAGCCTCTTCACTTCTTCCTCGGTTGTGTGTACTGTGTCCAGCACATGGTGGTGTACCCCACCTCTCCGTCTTTCTGGACCCCTTCTGTCTCCTCTGTGAACACTTCTTTGAATCTCTTGTTTGGTTCCTCACATACTTCACTGTCTTTTCTTGTTGTCCTCCTCCTTCCTTCCTTAGCCTGATTACCTGGTCTTTGACGGTGTTTTTTCCTGATGTTGGCTGTATAACAGCTTCGGGTCAGAATTTGGCTTTTGCTGCTATGTCGTTTCATATTGACGTTGGGCCTCCCTTCTTATCTGTGCATATTCGTTTTGGCTCTACGATGCTCTCCTTATTCTCCTGGGTCCTTTGCCTTTATATTCTTCCATTCCCTAGCACACTTGGTTTTTGCCTCCTTGCATCTTTGAGTGAACCATGGGCTCATCCTGGCTTTTTCATTATTCCTGTTACCCTTGGGTACAAACCTTTCCCTCAGCCTCTTGCACATTGTGAACTACATATTCCATCATCTCATTAACTGGTTTCCCTGCCAGTTCTCTGTCCCACTAAAACCTCATTCAGGAAGTTCCTCATTCTGTGTAGTCCCCTTTCCTATAGTTTGGTTTCATTCGTCCTGGCCTTCCTGCTTCCCCCTCCACTTGTAGCTCTACTGTGTATTCGAAGCTCAAAACCACATGATCGCTGGCCCCAAGGGGTCTTTCATATGTGATGTCCTCAATATCTGCACTACTCAAGGTGAATATAAGTCCAGTTTGCTGGTTCATCCTCTCCTCTCTCTCTTGTAGTGTCCCCTTAGTGTTGGTACATGAAGTTTTCCAGTACCACCTCCATCATCTTAGCCCTCCATGTATCTTGGCCCCCATGTGGTTCCAAGTTCTCCCATTCGATCTCCTTGTGGTTAAAGTCGCCCATGATCAGGAGCTTTGCCCTACCTGTATGAGCTCTTCTGGCCACTGCAGCCAGTGTGTCAACCATCGCTCTATGCTCTCGTCATACTCTTGCCTTGGCCTCCTGCTGTTCTGTGGTGGTTATACATCACTGCAATTACCACCTTGGGACCTCCAGAGTGAAGTGTTCCCGCTATGTAATGGCTTGCTTCTCTGCTGTCTCCTCTCTCCAGCTCATCAAAATTCCATTGGTTTTTGATCAACAGTGCCCTCCTCCCCCCCTGTTACCTCTTCTTTCCTCAGGATTGGTTTCCCGTTGGAAATATGGCATGGTTATCATACCTGTTAGTTAGGTTTCTGTGAGAACTATGATGTCCGGTGATTGCTCTTGACTCTTTCTGCCACTCCTCCCCCAAAACTTGTTATTCCATCAGCGTTTTGTGTACCCTACCTTCAGGTTTCCTTTCCAATACTGTGGTTTGGGGGGGCCCGTGAGGGTGGAGACCTGGTGGCATACTGTGGGATTCTATAGCTGGGTGCTGGGTGGAAGCTGTGATGTGGATTGTAGTTTGTGTTGGGATGGTGTTCTGAGGATAGTTCTGTGGTGTGCTTTTCACTTGCTGCTCTGTTCTGCTCGATTGACCTCTGCTGGTTCCAAACCCTTTTCTCCTTTCGTAGCTCCTTTCGCTTTTTGTCTTTCTCCCTCAGCTGCTGTCGTTCTGTTTGTGTTCTGTCTCTGTCTAAGAACACCCTCATATACTTTTCCGGTATTTCAACCGCGGTTTTCTTGGAGGATCCTGTTCCGTACTGTTCTGTCCTGGAGAATCAGCTTTATCGGGCGTTTTCTCCCCTTGAAGTATCCCCCTATTCTCTAAAAATTTACAATCTCCTTTCTTTCTGCCTGCCGTCTTTCAGTGTGTGTCCTCTCCTCTCTCTCCTGAAACCCGTGGATAAACACTGAAATTTGCCCTTTCCCCCTCCATTGCCTCTCCCTCTGTGATCTGGTTTTTCCTGTCTGTACATGGTCATTTCTCCCTTGTTTTTTCCAGTGACTCTTGGTAGCATTGTTGTGCCTTTGCATTTAACCTAACCCCCTCTCTGCCTGCACCCAGCTGCTCTCCCCGTTCACTCCTTGGCCCTTCTTGGCAGGATGATATGGCCTTAGCATAATTCATATCTCCCTCCTTCCTGTTCGGCCTCTCAGCTTCATATGCTGTCTTCTCTGGTCAATGCCCATGTAACTTGCTTCAGCCTGTTTACCTCATCTTCTAGGACCTTTATCCTGGTTATTGCAGTTTCGGCTTGTGCCTCCCAATTCTTCTTCTCCTTCTCCAACCTCTCTTCTAATTTCGCAGAAAGCTCTGTCTTCATTTTTTCAGAAAGCTCTCTTAATTTTCTCTCCCACTCTTGTTCCATCCTTTTCCACTGCTCCTCCATCCACTCCTCCTTACCAGAACCATTCTCATCTGATCCCTGGTTCCTGCGAGTCCCCACCATGTGTGTGTGTGTGTGTGTGTGTGTGTGTGTGTGTGTGTGTGTGTGTGTGTGAGTGTGTGTGTATGTGTGTGCGTGTACTCACCTAGTTGTACTCACCTAGTTGAGGTTGCGGGGGTCGAGTCCGAGCTCCTGGCCCCGCCTCTTCACTGATCGCTACTAGGTCACTCTCCCTGAGCCGTGAGCTTTATCATACCTCTGCTTAAAGCTATGTATGGATCCTGCCTCCACTACATCGCTTCCCAAACTATTCCACTTACTGACTACTCTGTGGCTGAAGAAATACTTCCTAACATCCCTGTGATTCATCTGTGTCTTCAGTTTCCAACTGTGTCCCCTTGTTACTGTGTCCAATCTCTGGAACATCCTGTCTTTGTCCACCTTGTCAATTCCTCTCAGTATTTTGTATGTCGTTATCATGTCCCCCCTATCTCTCCTGTCCTCCAGTGTCGTCAGGTTGATTTCCCTTAACCTCTCCTCATAGGACATACCTCTTAGCTCTGGGACTAGTCTTGTTGCAAACCTTTGCACTTTCTCTAGTTTCTTTACGTGCTTGGCTAGGTGTGGGTTCCAAACTGGTGCCGCATACTCCAATATGGGCCTAACGTATACGGTGTACAGGGTCCTGAACGATTCCTTATTAAGATGTCGGAATGCTGTTCTGAGGTTTGCTAGGCGCCCATATGCTGCAGCAGTTATTTGGTTGATGTGCGCTTCAGGAGATGTGCCTGGTGTTATACTCACCCCAAGATCTTTTTCCTTGAGTGAGGTTTGTAGTCTCTGACCCCCTAGACTGTACTCCGTCTGCGGCCTTCTTTGCCCTTCCCCAATCTTCATGACTTTGCACTTGGTGGGATTGAACTCCAGGAGCCAATTGCTGGACCAGGTCTGCAGCCTGTCCAGATCCCTTTGTAGTTCTGCCTGGTCTTCGATCGAGTGTATTCTTCTCATCAACTTCACGTCATCTGCAAACAGGGACACCTCAGAGTCTATTCCTTCCGTCATGTCGTTCACAAATACCAGAAACAGCACTGTCCTAGGACTGACCCCTGCGGGACCCCGCTGGTCACAGGTGCCCACTCTGACACCTCGCCACGTACCATGACTCGCTGCTGTCTTCCTGACAAGTATTCCCTGATCCATTGTAGTGCCTTCCCTGTTATCCCTGCTTGGTCCTCCAGTTTTTGCACCAATCTCTTGTGTGGAACTGTGTCAAACGCCTTCTTGCAGTCCAAGAAAATGCAATCCACCCACCCCTCTCTCTCTTGTCTTACTGCTGTCACCATGTCATAGAACTCCAGTAGGTTGTGACACAGGATTTCCCGTCCCTGAAACCATGCTGGCTGCTGTTGATGAGATCATTCCTTTCTAGGTGTTCCACCACTCTTCTCCTGATAATCTTCTCCATGATTTTGCATACTATACATGTCAGTGACACTGGTCTGTAGTTTAATGCTTCATGTCTGTCTCCTTTTTTAAAGATTGGGACTACATTTGCTGTCTTCCATGCCTCAGGCAATCTCCCTGTTTCGATAGATGTATTGAATATTGTTGTTAGGGGTACACATAGCGCCTCTGCTCCCTCTCTCAATACCCATGGGGAGATGTTATCTGGCCCCATTGCCTTTGAGGTATCTAGCTCACTCAGAAGCCTCTTCACTTCTTCCTCGGTTGTGTGCACTGTGTCCAGCACTTGGTGGTGTGCCCCACCTCTCCGTCTTTCTGGAGTCCCTTCTGTCTCCTCTGTGAACACTTCTTTGAATCTCTTGTTGAGTTCTTCACATACTTCGCGGTCATTTCCTGTTGTCTCTTCTCCTTCCTTCCTTAGCCTGATTACTGGTCCTTGACTGTTGTTTTCCTCCTGATGTGGCTGTACAACAGTTTCGGGTCAGATTTGGCTTTCGCTGCTATGTCATTTTCATATTGTCTTTGGGCCTCCCTTCTTATCTGTGCATATTCGTTTCTGGCTCTACGACTGTTCTCCTTATTCTCCTGGGTCCTTTGCCTTCTATATTTCTTCCATTCCCTAGCACACTTGGTTTTTGCCTCCTGCACCTTTGGGTAAACCATGGGCTCATCCTGGCTTTTTCATTACTCCTGTACCCTTGGGTACAAACCTCTCCTCAGCCTCCTTGCATTTTGTTGCTACATATTCCATCATCTCATTAACTGGCTTCCCTGCCAGTTCTCTGTCCCACTGAACCCCGTTCAGGTAGTTCCTCATTCCTGTGTAGTCCCCCTTTTTTGTAGTTTGGCTTCATTCGTCCTGGCCTTCCTGCTTCTCCCTCCACTTGTAGCTCTACTGTGTATTCGAAGCTTAAAACCACATGGTCACTGGCCCCAAGGGGTCTTTCATATGTGATGTCCTCGATATCTGCACTACTGAAGGTGAATACTAAGTCAGCCTTGCTGGTTCATCCTCTCCTCTCTCTCTTGTAGTGTCCCTTACGTGTTGGTACATGAAGTTCTCCAGTACCACCTCCATCATCTTAGCCCTCCATGTATCTTGGCCCCCATGTGGGTCAATTTTCTCCCAATCGATCTCCTTGTGGTTAAAGTCACCATGATCAGGAGTTTTTGCCCTGTATGCATGTGTGTGTGTGTGTGTGTGTGTGTGTGTGTGTGTGTGTGTGTGTGTTGTACTTACCTAATTGTACTCACCTAATTGTGGTTGCAGGGGTTCGAGACTCAGCTCCTGGCCCCGCCTCTTCATGATCGCTACTAGGTCCTCTCCCTCTCTGCTTCCTGAGCTTTGTCATCCCTCTTCTTAAAACTATGTATGGTTCCTGCCTCACTACTTCACTAGCTAGGCTATTCCACTTCTTGACGACTCTATGACTGAAGAAATACTTCCTAACGTCCCTGTGACTCGTCTGAGTCTTCAGCTTCCAGTTGTGACCCCTTGTTTCTGTGTCCCCTCTCTGGAACATCCTATCTCTGTCCACCTTGTCTATTCCCGCAGTATCTTGTATGTCGTTATCATGTCTCCCTGACCCTTCTGTCCTCCAGTGTCGTCAGTCCGATTTCCCTCAACCTTTCCTCGTACGACATTCCCTTGAGCTCTGGGACTAGCCTTGTTGCAAACCTTTGTACTTTCTCTAACTTCTTTACGTGCTTGACCAGGTGTGGGTTCCAGACTTGGTGCTGCATACTCCAGTATGGGCCTAACATGCATAGTGTACAGTGTCTTGAACGATTCCTTATTAAGGTATCGGAACGCTATTCTCAGGTTTGCCAGGCGCCCGTATGCTGCAGCAGTTATTTGGTTGATGTGTGCCTCCGGTGATGTGCTCGGTGTTATGGTCACCCCAAGGTCTTTCTCCCTGAGTGAGGTCTGTAGTCTTTGTCCACCTAGCCTATACTCTGTCTGCGGTCTTCTTTGCCCCTCCCCAATCTTCATGACTTTGCATTTGGCAGGGTTGAATTCGAGAAGCCAGTTTCTGGACCACATGTTCAGCCTGTCCAGGTCTCTTTGCAGTCCTGCCTCATACTCATCCGATTTAGTTCTTCTCATCAGCTTCACATCATTTGCGAATAGGGACACGTCAGAGTCTATTCCTTCCATCATGTCGTTCGCATATATCAAAAATAGCACTGGTCCTAGAACTGACCCCTGTGGGACCCCGCTCGCCACAGGCGCCCACTGCGATACCTCTTCACGTACCATGACTCCTTGTTGCCTCCCTGTCAGGCATTCCCTGATCCATTGCAGTGCCCTCCCTGTTATATGCGCCTGATCCTCCAGCTTCTGCACTAATCTCTTGTGGGGAACTGTGTCAAAGGCCTTCCTGCAGTCTAGGAAAACGCAATCAACCCACCCCTCTCTCTCGTGTCTTACTTCTTAAATATGGGGACTACATTTGCTGTCTTCCATTTCTCAGGTAGTTCCCCAGTTTCAAGGGATGTGTTGAAGATTGTGGTTAGGGGCACGCACAGCATCTCTGCTCCTTCTCTAAGGATCCATGGGGAGATGTTGTCCGGTCCCATCGCCTTTGAGGTATCAAGGTCACTTAGCAGCTTTTGCACCTCCTCCTCGGTTGTTCGTATGTCATCCAACACTTGTTGGTATTTTCCCTCTTGATGTTCCCTTCTGTGCTGTCTTCCCAGGCCCTTCCTGTCTCACTGTAAAAAATTTCCCTTTAAAAATCTCCTGTTCAGTTTCCTCAACATACCTCCTGACATTTCTTGTGAGTTCTCCACCTTCTGTCCTTAATCTGATCACCTGGTCTTTGACTTTTTCCCTTCCTCCTGATGTGGCTATACAACAGTTTCGGGTCATTTCTTGATTTTCGATGCTATGCTATTTTCATACTGTCGCTGGGCCTCCCTCCTTACCTGTGCATACTCATTCCTGGCTTTTGCGACTGATCTCCCTTTTTCATGTGTTCTCTGCCTTCTGTACTTTTTTTCCCTTCTCTATTGCACTTGCGTTTGCCTCCTTACACCGTCGGGTAAACCAGGGACTCGTTCTGATCTTCCCATTGTTTCTGTTGCCCTTTTTGTGTGTGTGTGTTGGGGTGTTTTGTGTGTGTGTGTGTGTGTGTGTGTGTGTGTGTGTGTGTGTGTGTGTGTATTGTGTGTGTGTTTTGGTGTGTGTGTGTGTGTTTTGGTGTGTGTGTGTGTGTGTATGTGTGTGTGTATTGTGTGTGTATGGTGTTAGTGTGTGTGTGTGTGTGTGTGTGTGGTGTGTGTGTGTGTGTGTGTGTGTGTGTGTGTGTGCGTGTGTGTGTATGTGTGTGTGTGTGTGTGTGTATGTGAGGTGTGTGTGTGTGTATGTGTGTATGTGAGGTGTGTGTGTGTGTGTGTATGTGTGTGTGTGTATGTGTGTATGTGAGAAGTATGTGTGTACAGTGCCTCAGTCTGTGAATCTCCCCCTTTCTTCCCACAGCCTCTAGATCGGGATCCTCCTGAAGGTAGGTCTCAGTGGCGCCTCCAGGTGAGTGCTACTGACGGAGGCGTGGAGGTGACCACTGTGGTCCACGTCAATCTCAAAGACATCAACGACAACGCTCCCTTCTTTCCCCAGGCCACGCTCAATGCTCAGGTTCAAGAGAACTCTCTCCCAGGTCAGTCCCTCTTTCGATGTGAGGTGTCACCACTAGTGTGTTTGAAAGACCCATAAAGCAAAAACTAGGGCATTTTATTGGAAACGTTTTGGGTATTGGGACCTTGGTCCCAAGACCCTAAAAAAGGTCTCCAAAAAAGGTCTCAGAACCAAAAAGTCTCACAACCAAAGATCTCCAAAAAAGGTCTCAGAACCAAAGTTCTCCAAAAAAAGCTCTCCAAGAAAGGTCTCCAAAAAAGGTCTCCAAAAAAGGTCTCCAAAAAAGGTCGGAGAAGCAAAACATTTTCAGTAAAACAGTAATGAGTTCAAAAAACCGGCAATAATAACCGCGACTAATGACTCAGATTTATCAGACTTGACTAAGCTCAGTCTTTAGCGAGAAACTGTATAATATAAAGTCTTGGTCAGCTCTGCGTCTCTTTTTATAACCAAGATGTCAAGAAACAAGTGAAATCTTAATGTTTAGTTTCATCACTAAGGAAGGGAGTTGAATTCCAAGTGCTTTTCTGATCCCTCTGTCAAAACTCTTCAGGAAATGTAAATATCACTTAATAATGTGATCGACAGAACTCTAAATTCTTCAAATTTATTTTCCTTTCACTAGTTGTTAAATTGTGTATGTATATTTTCACTAAACTGTACTGTAAATGTCCTGTCGTTCTTTTGTTTGAAACTGTGTATGAGTACTGTCTTCACTATTACTTCCTCATGCAGCTCATTCCACTTTCACGCTCTTTTATGAGCGAAGACAAATATTATAGTAATGATGTGGTTCATCTGTGTTTTTATCCTCATTCGTCTTCCCAGAGCTCCTCTGTTTCTCAATCCAAGAAGTTTAGTCCACTTTGTTCTACTGTTCCTGTTTCCGCATTCTGTCTGTCAAGAAGATCTGAAGATCACCTTGGGTAATCCAGATGTTATTTGTCTTGCAATAAAGTCATATAAGTAATTTTCACTGATTCGTGGTTGCTAGTGTCTCTAATCCTCTGTTTCCTCCCTCTTCCACTACTATATGATACCTCTTTAGGAATATTGTATTGTTTATCACTATAAGTTTTATCTCTGTGTGAGCTATAATGTTCAGTAACTCCGCTGCTACTGAATCTTTAGTTCTCTGCTTTCGTTTATGGTTTTGCCTGCATTCGTTTGTTCCACTATAATCTTTTTGTAAAACGCTTTGGGATGTGACATTTTAGTTCTGACTAATTTTGGGGCGGATTCTTTTGAAAGAATGAGATAAGGAAAGAGAGAGAGAGAGAGAGAGAGAAGAGAGAGAGAGAGAGAGAGAGAGAGAGAGAGAGAGAGAGAGAGAGAGAGAGAGAGAGAGAGAGAGTATCAGTCTGCCTATCTGTATACTGTCACACATTCCAGCCAAATACTAAACAACATTCACCACGTATATGGTAACAGTGACAAACGATGTGTCTACAGCACCAATCCATCACCACAATATTGGTCATTACAAAGATCACCCAGCCCATGTTCACCCACAACGAGGATCAACGAATATAACCGAACTCTCCCTCTCGGATAATTCCTGTAAGTGCTGCCAGCCCGTGCGGCAATCGAAACCACTGACAACGGATCCATTATTTTTATCACATCAGTTATGAAGGATATCTGGAGCTTAAACTGATATTTTAGACTTGGACTGAATAATCGTGAAAGTTCTGATATAGAAATAAACTAGCGATCTCTTCGGTAATCTTTTCGTGGTTTCTTATAAACGTTTTGTTACGATAACAATCCAATAGCCCACTAGAAAATAAAATCCAGTGTCCGCCACTTAGTTCGTGATATTCCCTCAAGAAATTAGGAACGTTTTGCTTCTGCACTCAGGAAGTTAAACACTCTGGGGATGTTTAAGTGGGTCGTTAAATTGTGTTTAACTTCCAGCATTATTAAAATTGTGGACTGCAAAAAATAGGAGTTGGGAAAATAGTTTTCTTTAAAGGAAACTAGTTAGCAAGCATCGTAGTTGTTTTTATCTCAGTTAAGTGAATGCAAATGTGGTTTACGAACAGGAAATATTACTACCAAAATCCGAAAGTTATTACTCAATTATTAGAATTAGACAATACTACTCCTAGTATTGACTATTGCTACTGACTACTCCTACTACTTACAACTACTTAACTACTACTACTACTACTGAACTACTACTACTACTACTACTACTACTATTACTACTACTACTATTACCTACTTACCTACTATTACTGCTGTGGCCTGCCTGCTGCTGCCTGCTACGTGAACGATTACAGACTGGCAACAACCTTTTTACTACTAATACTACTACTACTACTACTACATGTAATACACATAACTATTACTACTACTACTACTACTGCTGCTGCGCAGCTTGCTGCTGCTACGACTATACAACTGGCACAAGCCCTGTTACTACTACTCTACTTGACTCTGAACTATACTACCAGCCACAACACTACTACTACTACTACAATTACTAACCGACTACTACTACTACTACACTGCTACTACGACCTACTAACAACGGGCAACACTGTTAAAATACTACTCCTTTTACTATTGCTGGCATCTACTAATGCTACAACAAACTACTACTACAAACCATTCTATTACTACATTTGCTACTACTAATGTCATTAACACTATTGATACTTTTTACTATTTCTACAACTACTACTAACTACTACACTACTACTACTACACTACTACTAACCACTACTACTACTACTACTACTACTACTACTACACACTAAACCCCTACTACTATACTACTACTACAAAACTACCACTACTACTACTACTACACTACTACTACTATACTACCACTACTAATACCACACTACCTACTACACTACCACTACTACTACACTACACTACTACTACCACTACTACTACTACCCACCACTACTACTACTACTACTTTCTACTACAAATAACCCCTACTACACTCACACTACTACTACCACTACTACTACCCTACTACTACACTACTAAATACCACTACTACTACTACTACTACTACTACAAAAAACTACTACCACTACTACTACACTACCACTATACACTACTACTACTACTCTACACCACCTACTACTACTACTACTACACACTACTACTACCACTACTATACTACTACTACTACTACTACCATACTACTCTACAAATACTATACATACTCTACTACCTACTACTACTAAACCCCCCACCACTATACTCTACTCTACTACTACTACTACCACAAAATACTACTACTACACTACTATACTACTACTACACCACTACTACTACTACACCACTACTACACTACTACTACTACACAAAACCCCTACTACTACTACTACCACTACTACTACTACTACTCTACTACTAAAACCCACACTACTACTACTACCATACTAAATACACTACTCTACTACTACTACTACCCACTACTACACTACTACTACTCTACTAAAAAACCCCCACTACACTACTACCCTACTACTACTATACTACCACTTACTACACTACAAATACTACACAACTACCACTACTACTACTACTACTACTACTACTACACTACTACAACTACACTACACTACAAAAAACCACTACTACTACTACTACACTACTATACTACTACACACTACTACCTACTACAACCACACTACCAAATACTACTAAAATAACAAAAAGAAAAACAAAAAATAAAAACAGGGCAAAAACAAAAAAACAAAAAATCATGGAAACACACACAACCACACACACACACACGCACGCACAACACCAACACACACAAACAACATATACACACACACATACACACACACACACACGCACACACACATACACACACACACACACCACACACAAAACACACAACACACACTACATACACTACACCACACACACATACACACACACACACCCACACACATCCACACACACACACCACACACGCCAACACCACACACACACACATACACACACACAACACACACACACACGCACACCCCCAACCCCACACACAACACACAACCACACACCCAAAACACACACACACATACATACACATACACACACACACATACACACACACAACGCACACACACATACACACACACACACACACACACGCAACACACACACACACAAAACACACAACACATACACACACCATACACAACACACACACCACACACACATACACACACACACACACACACACACACACACACACAACACATACATACCAACAACACACACTACCACACACCACGCACACCACATACACACACACACACACACACACACGCACCACAACACACACCACACACACACACACAAACACACACCTACACACACACACACACGCATCCCACACATAAACACAACACACACACACAAAACACACAAAACACACACATACATACAATACACACCACACATACACACACAAAACAAACACACACACATACAACACACAAAACACACCCCCAAACACACACACACCACTACAACACATACACACCCCACACAACAAAACACACACACGCAAAACAAACAAACACACACACACACACAAACCACATACACACACACACCCACACACACAACACACACACACACACACTCCCACACACACACAAAAAAACACACACACCACACACACACACACACACACACACACACCCAAAACCAAACACAACACACACAACACACACAAAACCCCACACACAAATAAAAAAAAATTAAAAATAGCTAAGAAAAGGGGACAAAAGGGGGCCATCAAAGAGGCTGCCACCACCCTCCGGGAAACTTTTAAACCACAATGGGGCAAGGCTAAGCCCTGACACTGAGGAAGCTGGAATTTTTTTTAAAATGCTTTTTTAGTCCCTTTTTTCGTCCCTTGGAAAAAATTTGGTTCCCTCAGGGGGAGGGGACTGTGTGTTTTGTGTGTGGGGTTTTTTTGCGTGTGGGTGTGTTGTGGTGTGTGTGTGTGTGTGTGTTGTGTGTGTGTTGTGTGTGTTTTGTGTGGTGTGTGTTTTGTGTGTGTGGTGTTTTGTGTGTGTGTGTGGGGTGTGAGTGTGTGTGGGGTGTGTGTGTTGTTGTTGTGTTTTGTTTTTGTTGTGGGTGTGTTGGTTGTGTGTGTTGTGTTGTGTGTTGTGTGGGTGTGTTTTGTTTCGTGGTGTGGGTTTTTGTGTTATGTGGTGGTGTGGGTGTGTGTGTGTTTTGTTGTAGGTGTGGAGAGAGTTAGAGAGGGGAGAGAGAGAGAGAGAGAGAAGAGAGAGAGAAGGAAAAGAAGAGAGAGAGAGAGAGAGAAGAGAGAGAGAGAAGAGAGAGAGGAGAGGAAAGATAGAATAAAAGAAAGAATAGAGAGAGAGAAAAGAGAGAGAGAGAGAGGAGAGAGAGAGGAGAGGAAGAGGGAGAGGAGAGAGAGAGAGAGAGAGAAGGGGAGAAAAAGAGAGGGGAGAGAAGAGAGAAGAGAGAGAGACAGACAACAAAACCCGAACCCGAAAAGACAGACAGACAGACAAAAACAGAAAAAAAGGGGGAGAAGGGGGAAAAAATCAGCACCAACTTTCCCCAAATGTCCCCACACAAAAACAATTTCCCTTTCTGACTGCTCCATTTTTGGCTGCCACCCCATCCCGGTCCACACACCATCCAGGTTCACAACCCCCCTCCAGGTCCACCCCAAAAAAATCCAGTCCACACTCTCATCCAGGTCCACACACTCATCCTTCCCCACACCCCATCCAGGGCCACACACTCTCCCTCCACCGCTCATCCAGGCCACCACTCACCCTCCACACACTCCCTAAAGGTCCACACACCCATCCAGGTCCCACAACCCCTCCTTTCCCGGGCCCCCACAAAATCCTCCCGGGCCAACACTCACCAGGGCCACACACTCATCCAGGTCCACCCTACTCATCCCGGTCCACACACTCATAAACCCGGTCCCCCAAAACTCATCCAGGTCCACACACTCATCCAGGGCCACACCCTCATCCAGTCCACACACTCATCCAGATCCACACACTCATCCAGATCCACGCATTCATCCAGGTCCACACACTCATCCAGGTCCACACACTCATCCAGGTCCACACACTCATCCAGGTCCACACACTCATCCAGGCCCACACACTTATCCAGGCCCACACACTCATCCAGGTCCACACACCCATCCAGGTCCACACACTCATCCAGGTCCACACACTCATCCAGGCCCACACACTCATCCAGGTCCACACACTCATGCAGGTCCACACACTCATCCAGATCCACACACTCATCCAGGTCCACACACTCATCCAGGCCCACACACTCATCCAGGTCCACACACTCATCCAGGTTCACACACTCATCTAGGTCCACACACTCATCCAGGCCCACACACTAATCCAGGTCCACACACTCATCCAGACCCACACACTCATCCAGGCCCACACACTCATCCAGGTCCACACACTCATCCAGACCCACACACTCATCCAGGCCCACACACTCATCCAGGTCCACACACTCATCCAGACCCATACACTCATCCAGGCCCACACACT